CCAACTTGATGAATCTCCTCAGGGTAATGGACCCCACCAACTATTTGGATGCAGAACAGGGAGGGGGAAAAGTTAATCACCTAAGAAGCTTCTTTAAAATGTGCTTCTCTACTCTGGTGGCACAGGGGTTAAAGTCTAGGCACTAGCAAGCTATTGCCAGCCACTGTGGCATGAGTTCGATCCCCAGCCAGGGAGCTACCTACATATGGTGCAGCAGACTTCTCCTGGCTCACCTGCTGCTCCCCTCAGCAGTGTATTTCAGTGGATCCTTCTGTTCTGTTCCCCACTCTGTCTCTGGTGAATCCTCTCACCCCACATCTCTGGCCTACACCCCAGTTCTTATATATGTAAATAAATAAAAAATAAATCCTTAAAAAAGTGCATTTCCTATGGTCTTTGTCCTTCTTCTGACTTATTACACTTTGCATAATCCCATCAAGTTCCATCCACATTGTGCAAATGGCAAAATTTAATCTTTTGATGGCTGAGTATTAGTCTATCATGTATAGATTCCACATCTTCTTTATCCATTTATTTGTTATTGGGCAGGTGGGTTGTTTCCATATCTTGGATATTGTAAATAGTGAGTGCAGGGATGCATTTATCATTTCAAATTGATGCTTTCTTTTTCTTTGGGTAAATACTACAGAATTGTTGAATTTGTGGAATATAAAGCCAGAAAAGGCAAATGAATAAACAAAACAAAACCCTTAGACCTTGACAATAAAATGGTGATTATTAGAAGAAATGGAGATGGGGAGTAAATGGGTAAAAGGGACCAAAATGCCAAATTGGTTGGTGGTAGGCGGTGAATGAGCATTTGGGGGTGGGTGGGTGAGATGAGATAAATACAGTTACTAAGGTGAGAAAAAACCCTCCAGAAACTTACACAGTATGGCAAATTAATGTTACCTTAAAAAAAAAATAGAGGCAGATTACCTCCCTCTCTTCCTCTGTGTTTACCAGAAGTCAGGGCAGAAGCCAAGCAAACCTATTTTGAAAGACCTCTTCTGGTAAAGCTAATATAATCCACTCCTCCCTCCTCCCCAGTCACAACCATCCATAATGTAAGGGCAGCTTGGCCCTCTGAGAGGATTATTTGTCCTTCTCCAAGTCTGATCTTGACTTGTATGTCTTAGAGCCCAGTCAGCCACTGGCTAGGGCTTTCAATGTCAGTTCAGCTGGTATCTACTCAAGGATATAAAGCAATCCAGACAAAAATCTGTAGAAATGTTCCTGCCTTTCTGTGTGATACTGTCACTGGTCATTTCTGAATATTTTATATATTATAAATTGTTTTTTTTAAGATTTATTTTATTTATTTATGCATACAAGAACTGGGGTATAGGCCAGAGGTGTGAGAGGACTCACCAGAGACAGAGTGGGGAGCAGAACAGGTGGATTTACTGAAATCCACTGCTGAGGGGAGCAGCAGGGAGACAGGAGAGGTCTGCGGCGCCATGTGGGTCACCTCCCTGGCCGCGGATCAAACTCAGGCAGTGGAGATGATAGTGCTGAGAGTTAGCCCCTAGGCCACCAGGGAGGTCCTATATATTATAAATTGTCATCTATAGGTAATGATCTATTTAAAATATGAATGCCCTGGTCCTCCCTGTTGGCTCAGGGGTTAAAGTCTTGGTACTATCAAGTTATCACCAGCCATTGCTGCAAGAGTTCGATCCCTGGCCAGGGGGTGACCCACATGGCGCAGCAGAGCTCTGCAGTACAGTGTACTGTGTAAGGCCCTTCAAGGCCCAGCGCATATATCATACATCTCTTTGTCCTCACTGCCTAGCGCAACATCTATTGCGCTAGTGTTACTGAAAAATTTCTGTGATTTTTGTTGTTGACATTGATGTTCTTTTACTCTCAGTGGAGTTTCTTAACACTTAGTCTGATTTGAAGCATCTTTTTCTGGTGAAATCGATGGGTAGTTGGAATTGGCAGAAATTGAAGGCCAGCCAGACTGTTTCCATCTATCGGTTCTTTAGACTACGGCTAATGATGAAACATTTTTTAAAATGTGTGCCATTTATGTCTAATATAGGTGACAAATAAAATTTGATATCATTATTCTTGAAATAGCATTTCCAGACCCGAGGAGGGAGTGGGCCTTTCCTCAGGATGGCCATCCATCTGGCTCTCAATTGATGTGCTATCCCCATAACCCTAATTTACGGTAGCTGAGTTCCATGTGCCATAAGAGGGATTTTTGTGTATGTGTCCAAGAAGTCTGACCTAAAAAGGGTTTCCATGATGACTAGTGGCAACCTGGGTTTTTCAGGGAGCCAAGAATGAAGGGGAGGGGAAAGGAAAGCAGGGGAGTCTGCAGCTACCAGTTTCCAGCCGAGCATTTGACACATCCAGCGAGAAGGTGGTCTTATCTCTTACAGCAATGTTGCTGAATACACAGGATGTGGGGAGGAAAAGGAGAAGAAAATGTTAAATAAGAGGATCTTGCTAAAGAGATCCAGTTCCTTTTATGTTTCTTTGTGCCTGAACGGCTCACCTCGAAAAAGTAGCTCTAGCTGGTTACCTGTTTCATTATTCTACAGGCATTTTCTACTTTTCTGTCAGTTATTATTTTGTGTGATTGAATTGGATTTTCTCCAATCCTGGTCTTTTAAAATGTTCTTTATTTTCAGTGATATTTATCACAGTGAAACTTAGAGCGACCTTGGTACCTAAATGCAGGAGATTAATGAGATAAGTACCGCCATTCAAAGGAACAATGGACACTCTTCAGAGTAATAGGTTAGAAGTTTTAGTAGAGGATTGTAAGGAAGGATATTTTTATTTTATATCTCTCCTGAGACTTATCAAAAGCAATGAAAAATAATGGGAAAATTTTAACTTCAATAAATTGAAAATGGTCATAATCTAGCTTTTCCCCAGAACCTGCCAATTAATAGTGACATTTGGGTCAGTTCAGGTGAAGGACATTAGGACTGAAGCCTGCTCCTTAAGAGATCAAGCAGGGCATAGCAAGCATCGTGGTCCTAAAATAACCCTTTCAGAGATTCCACGACTGATGCCACTGTAGCTGTGGAGAACATTCTGGAACTGTTTCCTTACTAAAGCACCTCAGAGATTCATGGTTGAAGAAAGAAACAGAGAGATCTTTATTCTCTCTGACCTAAAACAAATGGAATTTAGCAGTCTATTAAAATAATAATATGCCACCAAATGAGAGCTGCTTTTTTAAGGATGTTTCAGAACTATAAATGTTATCAATACAATTTATTTTAATAATAACTCAAAGGAAAAAAATATGCTCATCCAATGTAAAATAAAGTAATGAAATTTATTCCAGGGTGAGTTGGAGGAGAATGAGGTGGGTGTCCAGAACCTCCTTGCCTCTGTCCTCGTATCCCCATCCCGCTCTCCATATAGGCATCTCCACTCCCTGAGAATGAGCCTCAGCTGAAAGATAAGCAGTTTTCATAGGAGGCAGCTAGCACAGGCTAAGTATGTCAACCCATGAAATTGCCTTCATTTGACTGCTTTTTTTTTTAAATTTTTTTTTAAGATTTTCATTTATCTATCTATCTATCTATCTATCTATCTATCTATCTATCTATCTATCTATCTATCTATCTATTTATTTATTTATACAAGCACTGGGTACAGTCAGAAGCGCGGGAGGGTGAGAGAATTCACCAGAGCCAGAGCGGGGAGCAGAGCAGGCAGAAGGACCGAAGGACACTGCTGAGGGGAGCAGCGGGCGGCAGGAGAGGTCTGCGCGCCATGTGGGACCCTCCTCCAGTGGCCGGGGAGCAGCCGGGGATCGAACCGGCGCTGCAGAGGCTGCGGGCAGCTTCGCAACCCAGTGCTCAACTGCTGCGCCACCAAGGAGGCCCCAGTTGACTGCTTTTAATCCCCCAAATTGGCAATTTCGTATGGTTCAACCTAATACATTATCAAGAATTTTCTTGGTTTTGCCTCACTTTAGCCACTAAATGAGAAAGATAAGACCTTACATATACTTTCTTCATCGATGATTTTTCCTCCCCTCGAAGTATGTTTTCTGCTTTCCTCCTCCATTGGGTTGATACATTTATTTTTACGATAATTCTGAGTAGGACTGCCCCTCCACCCCCCACCCCTGCATCCTTCCTCTCCGCCTCAGGGCTCGTACATTGTCTAATCCACCCACATGTGCTCTCAGGCCAGGACCTAATAAATTCAATCAGGCAGAGAAACAAATGATAAACAAGGCCTGGTCTCTTTTCTAAGAGCTGTATACTTTTCAATAACCGGCATCCTTTTTAAGGACATGAATCACGAATAGTCATCTGGGAGGCCCTCCAGAGTCACTGGGCGCTTGCTTGGGGCTGGAGGCTGATAGCACGGATTTGAGGTAGAATTCCTGGAACCTGTAAAAATAGGTATAACCTATTTTCCAGCCTCTGGAGACAGGGAGTTCCCAATTTTCTGATAAAGACTCCAAGGCCACATGTTGGGATTGTTATCATAAAATAGATAACACCAATAACTTTCCTATTATCCTGTGCAATCATCACAGTAACCTCAGGAAGTTGGCAGACATTATTATTGTTGGTGGATATTATTATTGGCCTCATTTTAGAAATGAGGAAATGGAGACTTACAACAGTGGGGTAACTTACTCAGAGTCACTCAGCTGGTAATGATGGAGAATTTGCCCAAAATCTACCATTATGGACTGGAGGCATGAGAAAGAGAATGTTGAGTTTGATGGATCTACAGTGTCTTCCCCACTGAATTGCGTGGATTTGGGGATGTGACCCATAAGCCAGGGTGCACCAGAAGTCCTGCCTTAAGGTGGCTCCTTAATGAAGATCTCTATTTAGAATCTGAGCAGAGATCGTTCAAAATACACTTTCATATATTCTCTTTTAGTGCAAAGTAACTTTCAGTTTGGTAATTTTACTAGATAGCTTATTTATAGCTTTTTAGCAATCAAATAATTGTAAAATATGTGAGTTGTAACACTTCAAAAGCCCTGTAATGAGAGGGTCTCGGGTGAGGGGCGGTGGCGCCATGTCCGGCCGCGAAGGTGGCAAGAAGAAGCCCTTGAAGCAGCTCAAGAAGCAGGCCAAGGAGATGGATGAGGAAGATAAGGCATTCAAGCAGAAGCAGAAAGAGGAGCAGAAGAAACTCGAGGAGCTAAAAGCGAAGGCTGCGGGGAAAGGCCCCCTGGCCACAGGTGGAATTAAGAAATCTGGCAAAAAGTAAGATGTTCCTTGTGCCTGAGGCAATGGTGGTCCTTAATTCCATTCGTATTTCAACATGTGGATTCTCTGCCATAGTATCTTTCGACGCCAATAGCTAGAATGAAGTGTCTTGGAGCCTGTTGTACATTTAAGAATAAACTTTTGTAAAAAAAAAATAATAATAAAATAAGAAGTCATACACGGGCTCATCTTTAGTTATTCTCACTTAGCCATTTCTACCTTACCTGTGAGGTCAGAGAAAACCCAGTGTAGAATCCTGCCAAAGTGTGCTCATCTTCATCTTTGTTCTATCTTGAATTCTGTACTACCTGGAATTAAACCAACTCATTTGGAAAAAAAAAAAAAAAAAAAAAAACAAAAGCCCTGTAATGAAAGTGCTAATAATTTAATTCTAGTGCACTCCACAATTTTGTCCATATTCTTAACCAAGCAAATGCTGGATATCATAATATGATAAAAGTAATTTAAAATATTGAATGATTGCAGTCTTCCACAAAGTAGTTAGACACTGTGCATCAATTTTCATTGACGAATTATAAATATTTCCAAAGTTGAAAAGGCCACAATAAAAGAAACCAATGTTTGAACTGCAAGAAAATGATGTAACACAACTGTACAAAAAAGGAAGTATAATCTTTGCATTGGGGGCTACTCATAATTATATAAATAATGAGCCATCATTTATTTTGCTGAAAAGTATAAATTTTCCAGCCATTCATAATGGAAACCAGTTTATTAGAGTGATTGCAATTTTAAATTACATTTTGTACTGTATTGTTTGTGAATCAAGAGAGTCATTTACATTTCAAAGTCCTTTGAAAGCAGCATTAATAGAATAAATGATTACAAGGTGATAGAACATGATTTCCTTCTGAATTTCCTGCTGAGATAATTTCATATTTGCAGCTGCCCAGAGCTGCCATATTATAATTTTTTTTTAATTCATTACCAGGTGTGTGTGTCTACACACACACATTCTTAAGTACTTTTATGGAGTGAGTTGGGCAGCTATGTGGAAAGGTAAGCAAATATTGATACTAATATGAGGAAAGATGTCAGCTCTACTATGAAAAGGTTGATGACAAGGTGCTCCGGATTTTGAGAGCCAGAAAAGACAACTTCCAGATATGATCACATCGCCAGAGAGCTTGCCTCTGAAGTAGGTGCTGAGGAGAATTTTTACCAGAGGCAGCAGAGGAGTTGAAAGCATGTATTCAAGGTGGCAGGGGCAACTTGCAAAAAGTGGGGCCGTCTGCAGCTGAGGAGGTGACCCCAGACAGCACTTAGGGATTGCGAAGGGGTCCAGTTTGGCACTGCATGGACCAGTTCTCAGCTGATCATTGGTGACATGGCTAGAAAGTAGGTTGAGGCCAGAGTGGAAAGAGTTTTGAGAACCAGCGTATGGAATAAGAACAATGCTAGGTAGTGGTAACCCATTTTTAGGTGGCAAGGGAATGCAGTTATGAGAGCGATGCTCTGAAAAATTAATCTTCATGAATAACGTGGATCAGAGACTGAAGTTGAGGGATCAGAACAGTTGCTGGAACCAGCTGGAAGCATTTGGAAAGCCCGCAAGCCTGGGTCCATCTGCAGTGGTTCTGACCCAGGGATCAGCAGCACGCACTGGTGCAGTGCTTGGTGTCCTTTGGGGACTCTGGGGGAGAGTTAAGAGGGGTTTGCCCCAAAACTGGAATGGGCATGGCCTCGGGGTAGAGGGAATGGAAGCCGAGCAAGTGCTAAGGTGGAGACTCGTGAATACACAGGACTGGGCGCTCCTGGGGCATCCCCTGGATGCCAGGAGGGCAGTTGGAGGCGCTGGGCATGCCATGTGGTGTGGGAGGAGCCCCCTCCGGCTCTTCTTTGGTACTTTGTGGGGCGCCCTGCAGGAGGGGGGCCTTGGGGGACAGCAGTTCTCTGCAGAGTCTTCACAGCGGTGGTTCCTGAGGCCTAGGAGAGCCTTTTTAATTTTTATATATTTTATTTTATACATTTTTACATCATTTTTCATTTTTGCACAATGTATGCTTTTCATTTTGGTTATAGTCCCCATTCAGGTCCCCCCCCTTATTTTGACCATAATCCGTCCTACCCACCCCCACCCCGTAGTGTGTCATAGTGTGTCTCTGGCTTGTAGCTGCTTGTTGATTTTGATTTTTACTATATTATAATTAGTCCTTCTCCTGGTCCCTTATTTAGGTTTTCTAACTCCCTGCCATGAGTGAGACCATGCGGTGTTTTTCTTTTTCTTACCTTCCTAGGATGAGCTCCACAGGGCAGATTTTAGCAAAGTTGAACAGGTGGAGACAAGCAGGGAAAGGAAAAAGTACCCAACTATTTGAAAAACCCTAAACCCTAACCCTAACCCTAACATCACATGCCATCTCGGCAGGGACGGGCCTCTGTCAGCCTTGGGGCCGGGGCTGGAGCTCCAGGGCGCGCCCCCTCTCGGGACAGGCCGTGGCCACCCTGGCTCTGCCCCCTGAGGCCTGTTCTCGGCCAGCCAGCTCCTGGGGGGCGCTGCCTGGCGGGTGGGGGCTGCTGCTGCGTCCCCCGCTAGCTCTGGCCTGGGCTGAGCGGCTGCTGCCCCCGCACCGGCTTCTCATGGTGGCTCCAAGCGGGGCGTCTGCGTCCCCGAGCTGGAGGCCGCGGCCTGAGACGCACCCAGCTCCGCTCCTGACACGTCCGACTTGTCACCGCAGTCCCCAAGCCCACTCGGTTTTAGTGGGAGGGAAAAGTCTCTCCCTCTTGGACTCCAGGAAGAGCGTGTGGGGCCAGAAATATCCTTGCTGTCTTTTCAAAAAGTAGAATCCCCCACACAGGACAGGAAAGGAGGCATCCTTATGTTCCTGGGCTTAGACCCCTGAGCCTGCCTGGGTTGGCAGGTGAAGTGTCCTTCTTACAGAGTTCGTGTGTGTGTGTGTGTCAGTGTGATGGGCATCTGAAGTCAAAACGCTCCTGAAATTAGTTAGCCTACTAAATTAATACCTATTTCCAAAGGCATAATAGTTTTATTTTTAGGTGAATAACCTGAAAATAAAATGTGGCTCTTCCTGTGAAAGTGATAGGACATATTATTTCTTTCTTTTTAAAGATTTATTTATTTATGCATACAAGAACTGGGGTACAGGTCAGAGGTGCCGTGTGTGTGTGTGTGTGTGTGTGTGTGTGTGTGAGAGAGAGAGAGAGAGAGAGAGAGAGAGAGAGAGGATTCACCAGACACAGAGTGGGGAGCAGAGCAGGCAGATTTACTGAAATACACTGCTGAGGGGAGCAGCACACAAGACAGAGAGGTCTGCTGCGCCATGTGGGTCATCTCCCTGGCGAGGGATTGAACTCATGCTGCAGAGGCTGCAGATACCTTCATAGTGCTGTGCTTAACCCCTTGCGCACCAGGGAGGCCAGGAAATATTATTTCTATGAATTCATAGAAGAGATATGCCTAGCAGGAGGTCAAAATTCTTAAACTATGAACATTAGCAAGAAAGCGAAGTTATAGATTCCACAAAGGTAGCCAGCCTGAATGCCTCCAATGTATGGAAATGACATCAAAGTCAGAATATTAGAATTGAAGACTAGGAGATTTTTACATCTCAGGAGTTTAACAAAAGAAAAATAGTTTGTTCTTGTTTCAGTGCCAATGATTCTGTGCTCTAGATTTTTACTTTTAATATGACGGATGGCAGGCCAGCCACACAGTTTCAGTGCAGAGACTGTTTACTTAATCCAGGGCCTTGAAGACATGCTTTCTCCTTCCCAGCCCAAGGCCTTGGCTGCAATCATAGTCCACCAGATCCGAGATCGGGCCAAGAAGCCCTGAGCTTGATGCCCTCTTTGGATTTATGAGAGCCAGAGGATATCTATGCTATGAGAGCAGCGTTGCTCGATGCAGATGTTAGTCTGGACAGAAAGAATAACCCAGAACTCTGCAACATACGGGGTCCCCATGATCAGTGCAAGTTCTACTCTGCGACACAGATGACAGCAACCTGAGGAAAGAAAGGGCAGGCTTCTAGATGAAATATTTCATCATAAAGCTGCTTACAATGGAGAGCTGTGTGGAGATTTCTGGACCTACTAAACATAGAGCTTCCATATGATCCAGCAATTCCACTCCTAGGTATTTACCCAAAGGACACAGAAACATCAATTCCAAAGAGCACCTGCACCCCTATGTTTATAGCAGCACTGTTTACAATAGCTAAGCTTTGGAAACAACCCAAATGCCCAAAAATAGATGACTGGATCAAGAAGATGTGGTCCATATACACCATGGAATATTACTCAGCATTCAAAAAAGATAAACACATGCAATTTGCAGCAACATGGATGGCGCTGGAAGGGATCATGCTCAGCGAAATAAGCCAGAAAGAAAAGGAAAAATACCAGATGGTCTCACTCATAGCAGGAATCTAGAAAACTTAAATATGGAACCAGGAAAATGAATAACTATTCAGTGAAAATCAAAATCAACAAAAATCTATGAACCAGAGACACTTTTGAGGGGATGGGTGGCGGGAGGGGAGGGATTGGGGTCAAAATGGGGGGTTGCAATTGTGTGGGGAATATAAAAATAAAATTTATTATTAAAAAAAAAAAAGCTGCTTACAATGCAGGTCTTCCTGAAGCCATCTTTCACAATTTTCCACTTAACCAGGAAATATTTCCCCTGTAAATGCATGTTGGTGTACTATGTTGGGATTTACACTGACAATAAATATCTGAAACGTGACAAAATATAGGAAGGATAATACTTTACAAATAAACACACACACACAAGCACACACATATACAACCCTACCCATGCAAATACTGTGTCACTTTATAGTATTTACAGGGAAAAAGAATGCAGGAAGTAAAGATGAGAGGCTTGTCCCAACGAGTATTTCTGGTGTTTCCTTTCTAAGTGAGGCCTATCAAATGCTATAAATCTTTTTATAAGTAGAGAAGATATAGGCTAATAAATAATAAATATTGTTTGCAAAACTAAAAAAAACATTCAAATCTGTAATAATGGGGAGAAGTGAATGACAGTGAATGTGGCTCTTCATTCTAAAACTGTCTGAAAAATTACCATAATGATTGGAAACATTTTGGTGTTAAAAAAGGATTTTATTTAGAACACCGCAACTATGCCATTTTTAGACTGAGTTGTTTTCATGCACCTTCACCTTGGAG